TTTTTCAAAAATACCGGTCTTGTGGGTCTTGACCTATCCGGCAATCCCTATGCGGCGTTCAATTTCATCGATGGTGCCTTTGAAGGTATTGCGGATAGCTTGGAATATTTATTCTTTGAGCAATCAAATTTAAAAGATTTGGATTGGTTGAAGCCCATGGAAAAGTTGTGTATTCTTGATTTGGCCGGCAATAACATCAATTTGTTATCAGCCGATGATTTTGCAGCGCTGGGAAATTTGCATGCGCTCGATCTGAGCTCAAATAACATTGGCAACTGGTACAATCAGGTATTCGCTAACAACACCGATCTCCGTTTGCTAAATCTACACCATAACAATATCAACCAGATCAATTATGAAATGTTTAAGGACTTCAAGCACCTTGACTACCTCAGCCTAGGCGAAAATAATTTCTTATGCGACTGTCTGCTGCATGATTTAGTAGAAGTTGCTGCGATCAACAACAAGAAGGCTGAATGTGCGCGCGCTTTACTCAAGGAAGTGCCACATCTCGTTATGGAACAAAAAGAAAAATGGCCAATTAACGACACGCAATTTGCATCAATGATACCATCAATCCTAATGCAGCAATATACCAAGAATTTAGAAAAAAGTTCTGCAAATATACTCAAATACAAAATGGGTCGACGTACAACGCCAAGTGTGCGAGCTCTAGGGCGTAAGACTTATTCAATCCTCCGCTCAAATGCTCAAGAAATGGACGAATGCGCCATGGTATCGTCAAATTCTTACGGGAGCGGGCAAATAAATGACTCAATGTTTGAATTCCAATTAATTGACTATGCAGAGGATCATTATTGGTGCTTTAATGGCACCACTCGTACGCAATTAATGCAACTCAATTGTCAGTCTGCGCTAATTGGCGGCATAGCAGAGGATATAAATAAATTAACAGAAATTCTTATTGGTATCATTTGTACGCTATTGGGAGTAACCTTGCTGATCGTGATTGTATATCTTAAGCGCTGGCACATATACTACTACTATTCATCGTTGAAATCGGCAGCGCTGTTATCTGTAGCTACCAAGAAACAGGTAAAACAATTTAATGAGTTGGCCGAAAACGACCCCAACATGGTATATGACATTTTCATTAGTTACTGTGAGAGCGATCGCGATTGGGTGCTGGAAGAATTGCTACCGAACGTAGAGGAGGCGGGTAATATATCGATATGTTTGCACGAACGTGATTTTCAGGTGAGCTGAAGTGATTATTGACTTAACCCTTTCAGGACCAAGGGAAACATTTTTCCCAAAGGGGTTTTCCGCTCATAAAGGAAATTGTGTGAAGTTCAAATTTTCGTATCTTCGTAAAAATTTTTAGTCCATTTTTTTATCATAAAATTTTAGAAACAGAAATATTTACCAAAAGGAAAAATTTAGTTAAAAAAAACGATTTTTAGAAAAACAAATATTTTTAAAGAAAAAGTAAATATTTTAGAAAAAAAATGGAAAAGGGCGATTTTTAAGAAAAAAAATATATATAATTAGAAACACATTTTTTAAGCACACAATTTGAATGAAAGTATTTGTTGGAAAAAATATTTTTAAAATAAGCCAAATGCATCGACATACTTAACTTAAGAAAGTATTAGTTTCCAAGGGAAAACATTTGATAGCAAAAAATACGAGGAAATTTAATTTTAAAAAAGTTATTATTTCTCATATTCAACAATTTTAGGGAGCTTTTTTATGGCTGTTTTTTATGAAAAAATATTGTGGTAAAACAACAATAATTTACAAAGATAGAAGTAATAGCTGCTATTTCGGAGATCACCACATTTCCTCATCAGACTTCTTCAACCGCGGTCACTGGTGGTCTACCCACTGAGCTAAGCTCGCCACGTAAACTGTTCATGCTTTTTCCATGATATTCATATGTCAAACCAACTACAATCAAGGACAATTGTTCTGCTCTCAATTCGATAGGTATTTCTATTTATAGGCATACAGTCCAGAAAGGGTTAAAATAAATTAACTTTAACTAAAATAATTTAAATAAAAGATAAAATAAAACGTAAAATGTTTGTTACTAATAGAATCATGCTTCATACTTTCCATTCTCTTTCCAGATCGGTGTCGCCATACTCGAAAACATCATATCCTGTATGGATCGCTCGCGTGCTCTAATGCTAATTATATCCTCAAATTTTTTACTCAGTCACTGGTGTCAATTCGAAATGCATTTAGCACAACATCGGTGAGTTTTTTTTAATCACCCCCTTTCTAGCTCAATTTAAACTCCCATTTCACATATTTTCTCTTCACAGCATTTTCGAGGTGAGCAAAGAACATCTAATAATCGTCTTTCTCGAGGATATACCACGAGCCAAGCGTCCGAAGACACTACAATACCTTATGGAAGTGAAAACATATGTTAAATGGCCCGGCGCCAAGGGTCATGAAATCAGTCCGGAAGAGCGTAAATATTTTTGGAAACGTTTGCGACGCTCATTGGAACACATTGGTACTTCCCATGCAGAGTCGCTTAAATAACTGGGAATTGGATTACAAAGCTGCTGAAACTGCCTGATTATTAATAAAATAAAAAAATAAAAAATTTACTAAAAAAAAAGTAAAATAAACTATGGTTAGAAAACGGCTCAATTAATAAAAAGATTATCAATGCAAAGCTAAACACTTGTACCTGATAGCAGTTATTTTTATGTATTAATGGTTACATACATAGCTTTTTTGATATTTTTATAAATGTATACATAGTTAAATTGTATTAATATGTAAGCAAAAAGTAGTGAATTATAAGAGGAAAACGACATAAGAAATTACGGAAATGTCTTTGATTTATTAAGAAATCTAATATATGTAAACTGTTCGAATTTTATAGCATGCATGCACCTACACTAACGCCCTAACGAATGACCATGTTGAGACTACGACGGAATAGGAAATATCATAAATAGTTTGAAATTCATTTTTTAAGAGAATTTCTATTTCTGATTTTAATTATTTGCAAATTTGTATACCGTTTAATATCAAACTGACTTAAATTATTTACAAAAATATTAAATTGGTTTATCGTTAATAAATCTTCGATATATCTTCATATTGTACTTTATCCACAACACGTCCTGTGAGAGGACCACGCGCGATCTCTATAGTAACGCAGTAGTTGCGTTCATCCAAGCTCTTTAATATCGCTTCGCATCCACGATAGGCTCCATTCAATACCAATATGGGCTTATCCAACGCTGGTATGACAGTTTCCAAATGCGCCTGATCTACTTTTAGTTTATCACCTGTATCTAAAAACTTGATTTTCGCACGATATTTTTCGATAACCTCCTGCACCACCGCCTTTTGTTTGTAGAATTTCTCACCCATTGCTTTGTCGATGAATTTTACAACTATGCCCGTGTGTAACCAATAGTCTTTACGATTTGCACGCTCTTTTTTCGCTTCCTCTTCCTTGATTAGTTCATCCAGTGCTGATTTTTTACCGTTTCTATGAGTTTCTTTCAGTTTATTCACCTTAGGCGCTTTCGGTTTCTTAAATACTTTTTCCTCCACTTCAGAGTCCTCATCTTCCGCTGAGTTTTCCTCATCACGTGTCTCAAGCTTAGGGCGCTTTAGTATTAACGCAGACGGCCCTAACTTGGTATCTGGATTGAACTTCCTTTCCAATCTTATATCCAACTTTAATGGCTGCTCTTCGTCACGCTTGAGTTCGGTGTATTTCTCCGCTTCGTCCGGTTGTGCACCCTCTTTAGTTTTATTCTTTTCTATTTGCTTTTCAATAAATTCCATCATACGTTCCTCATCATCCTTCTCCATTTTCTCTTTCTTTTCGGCCTTTGCCTGCCGTTCCAATGCGTCTGGACTACGATCGATGTATGTGACATACCAACCCTTTTCGGTTTCGTCAGCCACCACTTGGCCAGTACGACCAAGCCATTTAACGTAGTCTGATAATGTAAGCCAACGTGTGGCGTTCATGTGTATGTGATCTTTTACAGAAATATATTCCTGGTAAACTTTGTTCGCATAGACGCGCTTGGTGCCAAAGCGTCGCCGCAGCAATTCCATATAGCCGTCTGAAAATTCTTTAGAGAAGCTATGTAAGAATTTTCCTGGTGAATCGGCGAACAGCAGCAACTGTCGCTGATGGGATTCACTCATGGTGTGGCACTTGAAGCCATTTTCGTCACGGCATTGCTTCTCACACATTTGGCAATACCAGCGGAGCTTCTGTAGACCTTTCGCCTTCATCTTATTGGCGAGGTACTTGGGCGTACCAACTTCAGCGCGGCCCATGCTGTAGATATAAGGTGTGTCTCTGATGTGTATTAAATGTAATTATTTTAATTAATTAAACGTTTATTAGATGCACAATAAATTAAAGTGCACTTGAAGACTCGTCCTAAGGTAAATAGTAAACAGAGAAGCGAATTGTCAAAGCCAACAGCTGATTATAGCAATGTAGGGTTGCATTGAGTGTTCTGTCCAAAGCACTGTCAATTGTACTATAAAGCAAGCCATAAACGTTGCGACCGTCGGTGCAACTTGATGATGTTGTGCTCTAGTTTGCAACGTGGCGAGTTGTCGTGGCAGAAATACACTCGAAGGTTTGGCATTGCTTGCCGAGGGGCGACCGCTGTTAAGAAAAAACCAGGGCTTGAATCCAGGCGCTGCGGAGTGGAATCGCGCACTGCTTACCACTACCCCACAGCGGCCGCAAATTTGGTATAGTTTAATATAATTCCATATATTTGTGTAAACGTAGACGTAAAATACCAAAGCCATGCATACATTTGTACATACTTATGTAATTTTTGATGCTGTTTTTTTTAACTTTTTTCAAAGATTGGTATAATAGGGCTTTCGCATGGGCGATTTTTGATGCTGTTTCTAACTTTTTTCAAAGATTGGTATAAGAAAAACTCACCCTTTTTATTTCTTTGCTAATAAACTCATTCAAAGAACGAAAGAGAAAGGTATATGAACGAGCGTCATTCCAAGTTGAATTAAGATGAGGCAGTATTTGAAAAAAAAAAAATTGAGACGCGAATGAGTTTTTTTGCACAGAAAAACAGCCTTATGATAAGTTACATTTTCCCCGAACGGGGTCACTTTTCACTTTTGGTTTCCATGGTTTTACTATGGGCGGATGACAAATTTTCGGCCGAATTTTTTCAGGCGAAACTCAGGATAAGGCATATTAATGGGTTGATTATGGATGACAACGCAAGCGCAGTTGGGTTGCCGATGGGCAACGCCACTGAAATGAAAATGTATATTACGAATAGCAATTATATACTACGTTTATACGCACGTATTATTTGCAAATAACAATTTGCAAAATGGTAAACTTTGCCGTATAAACGCCGAGTTAATTTTTTATTTGCAAATAACTAAATCACGCAAATAAGTATTGATTAGTGGTACTATTTGCAATTAAGCGCAAGACGCCGCCATTCTTAGGCTTATTTTCTTTTTCGATGGTCATATTATTGCCTTTTTATAATCAGGCAATATTAAAAAAGAATTTTTCACCATCGAATAAAAAGTGAGTTAGGTATTTGCATCGGCGTAGCCAGAATGAAATTTAGGGGGGGGGCTCGACCCTATTAAGCTGGCTTTTCAGGGTACTATTTTATATATATATAAGGAAAATTTTAAAGTTAGGTGGGGTCGGCTCGAGCACCCCCCTTCCCCTACCTGGCTACGCCCATGGGTATTTGCAAATTATATTTATCTGCAAATAGCTTACGTATAAACTTAGTAATAGTTAAGTTCTATAAAGTTGAAGGTAATACAATTTTGAAGAACCAGCAACTAAGACTTGAGTGTAAATACATAAGCTGGAGAAACAGTTGAAAAATAAATTATATCAATCAAAATTTCTGCGGCAACCGCAAAAATGCAGTTGCCAATATAGCAATTTAGTTGCCAGCTTCCAGTTGCCATCTGTAATAGTATTTCAGTCACTGGCCACACAACTGAAGTTCGGTTGCAATCCGTAATCGACCCATAAGATTCTTAAAAAAAACTATTGTCATTCATATTCATTCAACGGTTGAGCATTGCTAAGTCGCAATACAATTTGAATTGACGAAACGCACTCGCTATCGAATGCCGTGATCTCAAAATCAAATTTCGAATCGAGTTGCGTTCGATATCGAATGCCACGATTCGGGCCCTGGGCTCGTGAAAACGCTTCTCACATCGTTCGTATGAGTCATGCAACACCATTATCGCATTATTTTTTCCCCCAGTCTAACTTTGATTAAAATACCGCTACCACTAAAGTATCGAACGGAACTAGACCCCTACGCACAAAGTGCTAAAACAAACTTTGCCAAACATTTAAAAATAAAGCAATTGAACAACAACTTGAAGGCTTTTTGTTTTTAAAACTTTATTAGCCGTTAAATTCTTGTTTATTTTCTTGATTCCTCATGTGGGTGTTGGGAGCAGTTCTTTTTATTTTACATGTTTTTTGCCTTTTTCAATTATGTATATTTTTATATTGTTTTGTATACGTGTATATAAATTATCATCCAAGTTTACTTATTTTTGTTAACAAAAATACTTCTTCGCAAATTTAGTTGTATTTGTTAATTTGTGTTTGCTTCCATATTTTCCTTTTCCAAACTAAATTAACGACGCTGTTAGGCGTAGAAATGCTTTACCGTCAACGAAGACACGCGATGACTGCTTTGCAGACAGAAACAGACAGGCAGGTAAACGAGCAGAGTAGTGACGCGCGTGTAATGAACTCAACCCTTGGAAAACGACGAATGCAAGATGAACGTTGGTTAGCCGGATGTTGGCAAACGAATCTGTTTTATCACTTCGAATATTACGCTTTTTTGGAAAAGTGAATTTGGATTTTTTAGCCATTTTCGCAGTGTGATGCTGAATATTTACTTAGCTTTAATTGTTCGTTTGCAAGCTGCTTCCATTTGAGGTATTGCTTTGCTTAAGTCTTCTGAATTTTGGAAATTTGTTATTCTTAGTTATAATTTAAGTTTTATGCTAGTCAACAATTATCTTATCACCAACAATTCGATGAATATTCGCGCGATTTTTCACTTTGTGATGCCAGCAGAGTTCCTTTCGCCTTGAAAGTGTGGTTTTTTACTTGATTCGATTTTGAATTTAAATACATGTATTATTTCATTATTTTTGCAAATGGAAGAGAAAATTTTTTTAAAGTATAAAAAAAAAACAAAAAAAAATTGTCTAATATTCATCTATGTCGTAGTAGTCATTGTCAACTTCGTCGAGCTGCATACTCTGGAAGTCCACTTTGTAGCGCAAAATGCCTGGAGGAGGAAAAAAAAGAAAGAGGAAAACAAATAGCACATATCAGTATTATATTTGCAGGGCATTATAAAATTGAATGATCTAAATTAAAAATGATAAACTAAAATTTTTCAATACCAAATTAAACATAAAAAACTGGACTGTGAAGTTAATTAAAACTGATAGATTATAGAAAATATTTTCTTTTTTTGTTGATCTGCAATACAATTTTATAGCTTTTTCTTCAAATTTACAATAATTTAACAACACAGCCCACAGAAATACAGTTACACAAAGAAATGGCATTTTACATACATATGTAGTATCCATAAATAAATTATGTATAAGTTTTCTTAGAAACAAAAAACAAAATCCGCTAGTAAAAAAAAAACAAATACAAAACAAAGAACTCAAAAACCTACAAATGCTTGAATTAATTTAGTAAATGCGTGAGTGATTTTTACGCAACGATATTTACCTCTACGACTTGTACATACATACATACATATGTATTTGGCTGCCTTAGCAGTGTTCAACTAGCACACTGCAGTGTCTAATGTTTACGCTTACAAAAAATTATAGGAGAGCTTAAGCCATAAGGACAGGTGAAGAAAAAGAGGACGGATATAAGGAATATTATAAATGGAGCGCTAGGCTAGGGTGGATGTGTCAAATTAAACACAAAAAAATAAAAAATAATAAAAAACCAAATTCAGTTTTTGAAGAAATGGGAAACCGAATGAAAGTCATAAATAAAATCGTAGTTTTTACACCGAAAAATTGCACGAACAGTCAGAAAGAAGTAAAACCAAAAAATTTCAAACGGAGTGCCTAAATTGTCCACCTACCACCATGCTGTATAATTTTTGGACTCGCGAATTTTACTTTCATTTCTATTTTTGGACTTGCGCAAATTAGTTTTTCGGCTGGCGAATTAATTTTTTGACTCGTGACTTGATTTTTTCACTTACGAGCTTTTATTTTTAACTCGCAAGTTGAAAAACGCGTCACTCAATTGATAGGAAGAGGTTCCCATACACGATTTTTTTTTTCTATTTGAATTTTTTTGTTTTAAATTTTGATTTTAAAAATCAACATGTTCTAAGCGTTGCAAAAAACTCTCGATTAGCATCCAGATATTTTTCGAACTTAACAAATAAAAATTGAAAATAACATTTTTTTTTTAGTTTTATTAACTCTGATTTTAACGTGCTACAGAGCAATTTTTGTTGAATCTGCATCCGTTTTCTAGCTCACTAGTTTTGTGCGACTTGAAAACGACAAATATTAGATATTTGAAATATCTTAATGGCACAAACTGGCTAGATGGATACATATGTCTTTACGTAAGCGAAATTTTTGTAAAAGTTTTCTTTTTGGTGGAGAAATGCATCTAGATGATCTTGGAATATTTCTGCATCAAAAAATGTTTGAAAAAAAAAAACAACAAATTTCGCTTGCGTTCTTTTGGCGGTTACGGCTCTATATATTATTCCGAATCTATAAAGTGACCTTAAATGTATCATAGTCGTTTCATAAATATGACATATACTCTTCCTGCACTAAAATCAAATATTTCCTTCGATAACCTTGCGACGACGAAATTCTCAATTTTACTCAGTGATTTGATTGCGTTTATACTTTAAATCCTGTAAATCTGACGGGTAAAGGAACAGACTAATTATCAACCAAGCTGTTCGCTATGAGTCAAATTGAAGCTGGTCAAAAGCGAATCAGACATTTAGACGCTTTCAAGCGCTGAATGGTAAATTTATTTACAGGATTTCCTAAATTAAATTCGAAAGCTCGCGAAAATTAAAGGTCACATAAAGAAGCATGAGTTGTGACGAGGCGAAAAACTAAAAAAAAAAAACATACCCTTTTCTCCTCCCCAGCAGTCGGAGCCTTATGAAAAATAGTATCCTACAACATTCAGTGGGTCCAATCACACCTGCTAGTCACTTTGTTGTTCGCTGACAACGCGAATATTGTGTTATATATATTTCAAAATAAATTCTTTTGACTTTATCCTGCTCAACTCTCTGCTACTTTTCTCCACTACATACTCTCATTTTATTGCATCATTTATTTTTCTATTGTTTTTGATAGGTCATTCCTTTTATTTATCCATGTTGAAATATATATGTATACGTATTCTGTATATATGTATGCTTTTTGTTTTTGTTTTATATTCTTTACGTTGGTAATATAGTTGTTTTTGTATGCGTTTATAAATTACGTTTTAATTTTCAGATTTCTTCTTCTCATGTTTATTAAATGTTATTTATTTTTTTGTTAATTTCAGTTGAATTTGAACGTATGGCTCTCATTAACTATTTTTAAAGGTATTTTATCATATAAATAAATTGTATTATTGTTTGCTTCCGTATTATACTCAACTAACAGGCTGCTTTCCTAACGCGTCAATAACCGTCAAGCTTCGCTGCCTTTATGGTGTTTACGCGCCAATTGGAAAAGTTATTTTTAAGAATTTAATACGTCTTTGATTTGCTTAAGATCTTTCTTGTTTCTACATTTAGAAATTATGACTTTAAAAGGTTTTTAGTAAAAGAATGTTCAAACAAATAAATTTACATTATTAATGTGCATGCGCGCGTTGTTTTGCTCAACCCAAAATTCTGTAATTTATTGACTGATTTCATTTTCAGCATTTAAATTCTAGTAGTGAATTAAAATAAGTATGTAGATGTGGTCACGAAAAAATCTGCTATGATCACTACAATACTATTTTCCTTGCTGGGTTGCCGTGTGACGCGAAAGGATTTATATATATTTGAAAATTTATATATAGATATATATATATAAATAGTAGCAACGTGAGAGATAGATTGAGATGAGAAATGTAGATGACTCGTATTTTGTCGTTTAATAGTCGTCAAGGTCAACATCTTCCAAAGGTTCATCAGCCTGCAGTGATTGAAAATCGACTTTATAACGCAGAATTCCTAGAAACGTTAAATTCGAACGTAAATAAAACAAATTAAGATACAAAAGAAACCCCGCAATAGTGATATAAAGGATTTGAGTGGACAAAAGTTTTGTAAGAAAGTAATATTATACAATAGAAAAAAATAAAAGGAGTAATCGACCGAGTAAGAGGATTTTGTTTTGACAAAAGGAACATTGATGATATGGGATATTTTTTTGGTGGCAAAATATCACAATTGCAAATAATTGGTATTTCATTTTAGCCATTTACATAAGCAGCGACAAGGAATAAAAAAGAGAGAAAGAGAAATTTTGTCATTTAGCCAAACTGTTCTTAATATAACATTACATAAAAAAGCAATAAATTAAAAAAATAGCTAATTTCACAGAAATTTATTGTGAGTGAGTTGTGTAATTAAACTGCAGTACTAAAGTAGGATCGGTCGATGAATATTTCGACAGTCATCATATCGATAACGATATAAGTAACTGCATAAACTGATAAATATAACGCTAAATGCATTCATTAATTTAAAAAGTATATCGATAACCACATATAACGAAGACAAAGTGGATAAAAAACGGTTCGAACTTGGTCGATAAATATGACGATAATTATATCAAAGATCATATAAATAACGATATCGATAAATTTAGCAATGATTACATCAATAAATAATCGAAAATTTTAACAATATACCGGTAACAGACCTTGCATATGTCGCGGTACACGAGGGTAAAATAATTTATTCAAGAGTCTGAGATGCCAAAAATTACATAAAAGCCCTTCGAATTCATATGATTAGAAATTTTGCTATTTCACAATTCACTTTCTAAGGGCCAAATTCACAGTGCGTAGTTAACTTAGAATCGGCAGTTAACCACCCATTTTTGTAGTGAAAATCTGTAGTTAACTGCCGATTCTGAGTTAACTACGCACTGTGAATTTGGCCCTAAATGAACTCTAATTTTCACTTAGGTATTTTTTAACGACTTTAAAATAAATTTCTGTGAAATTCTTCATCTTAAAAAACAAAATTAGTGAACTAATGTGCCAAAAAGCTTAGTGAAACTTACCACCAATGCCACCGAAACCTCGCACAAACTGACTGCCTTCCTGAGATTTATCCGTAATAATCTCAAGTGTAGCACCGAACATTTTGTAATTGTTCGCCAGCCATTCGAGCAACGGCTGAGACTCGATTAATTCCATTTCAACGCCACTCTGAAAATGGGAAATTACATTAATATAAAAAACTTGACAAGATTGCATATCGACCCCTAAATGCAAAAAGCCGTGACTAACAATTTTTTTTAAGGAGACGCTAAAAACGTTATAAAGTTCAGAAAATTTACATATATGTGCATAAAACGATGTGGGGACCTGTGAATTTTGGATTTTGTGTTACGTTAATCCAATGCATTTCAGGTGACGATATGTAAATAAGAAATATTTCCGTTGGTTTGAGTTATAAAAAAATATAGCCAGCACAAAACCGCTTAGTAGCTTAAGTTCAGAATCGCAGCAGACTATACTCCTTATTCCTGTACAACAACTCACTTCCTTATCGGTGAAGTGTGACTTATCCTTCTCTTGTTCGGGCGTCAAATGCAATACTGTGTTCGACGTGGAGTTCGCATGATTCTTCAATACATAACGCTGTATATCTAAATTTTCCCAACATATTAAAGTCTCAACGGAACCCAATTCCAAGGCGCGCAAGGTATCCTCTACACCAAAGCAATATTTTCCAGTGTCCTAGAAAAGAGAATTGTTAGCATTTTTAATAACGACGCAAAAATACATGCACGAAAAGCAAATACTTCTTTAATATTTATTTAGAAAAGCGTTTCGTCGGTGCCACCAACTCACCTGAGAAATTTCATCAAAGTAACGTCCAATGAGTTTCTTCTCTTGTATGAATTTAACATTCTGCAATGACTCAGCCGCCAGTTCTATCGCTTGATTAAAACCATTTTCACCGCCATACGATACATCCACCAGCTTAATAACCTTGGATTGCAGTCTCTAAAAAATACAAAACCGGAAAAAAGAATATGTAAAAATCCCGCTCTTGCTTCGCGCTTTTATTTGTTCACCACTTACAGGATCGAACATATCAGATTGACTCAACTCGGTCTTGAAGTCCGCACTACCAGCTAAAATTAAGCCCGCAATATTCGGTTTATCACTCGTAATGAATAATTGCGTAGCAACTTCGGTAACTTTACGTACATAATTGTGACGCTTCTCCATACGCAGACGTGCAAAACGCAACGCTGACTGACCACCACGCCCGTGCTTCTTCGGCAGATCGACAGTAAATTTGTGCAATACTTCACGTGTATTACCTTGTAGTGTACCAAAGAGAGCGCCATTACCATCCATCACTATGAAACCGAATTTATTATCATCGGCCAATAAAGCGGTCAACGCTTCAGTGTGGAACTTATTATCGCATAAATAAAGCGATGTATTAATCGGTTTGAAGGGTTCAAAATCGATATTAACCTTCTTCTCTTTGCCCTCTTCTGTGACAATGGTGCCACAGTAGATGACCAGACCATTAGGAGGCACTAAAAGTGAAATAAGAAGAAAAGATGGAGTTACGAGAAGAGAAAAAATATATATAAAAATATGGGCACTCACCTTTGGTGTATAATTTAAGCCTATGTTGTACCGATGTAATAGCGCCCAAGACGGACAAACGATTGACACGTGACTTGATGTTGGACGCTGTGCCGAATTCATCGGCTAACATTTTGCTGACACGTGAGATTTGATCTTTTGGCGGTATGATCAATGAAATCATGCTTGTTCCATTACTAAAAAAGAGAAAAAAAAATCGGTTATAATAAACTTACTTCATTTGAAAATTTAAAAAGTATATATTATATATGGGTATTATGGGTTAATGACTCAATGATCGCATCTAAACCAGATTACTATTGGACCACCTCTGAGACACTACCTTCCCGATACAAGCAGAATTTTCGAAATCGGTTGACGTGATCCAAAGTTATGCGGTAACATACATAAAAAAAAAATATTCCGACAAATTGATAACCTCCTCCTTTTTTTGAAGTCGGTTAAAAAACAGCCAAATCGGCTATAAATAAGTTAGATATAGGACTTTATAATTTTTTTTTTTGCGGTACTTTTCGCTGGTTTCGCCCATATGCATATATGCATTTTATCGTTTTTTTTTCTGGCAGGAAGTAGAATTGAAGCTATTTAATAGTGCGAATAGCACATGGTTTGTATATCTAGACAGCTTGTTTGCTGACTATATTTAGCTTTGGTAAGGGAAATGTATTTAATATTTCACACCCAGCTGTCCAGTTTGTTTGCACAGCAAACATTTTGTAATAATTTTCACACAAAAATTAATTATTCTATGCCAGTTTTATGCAGACTTGAAAGAAAAATCAATATTCACAAATAAAAAGCTTTAAATGCAAAAGATGATGGAGAAAGTGAACCTTCGATAATCATTTTTGGCTGATTCTAGCTTCAACAGGGGACTTTGGCCATAATCAAAATAGATGCAATTGATTTTGTCGCGAAGATTTCATGCTCCTTTGGTGCATTGGAAAGTATGACAAGCAAATAGAATCAAGTGCCAAAAGAGCAGAGTTCCGTCCCCATGTCGGTGTGTACCGCAAAAAGTACCATTTTCGAAGCGCGATTTTTTTCAAGTAAAGTCAGATTTTTATTTTGCTTTACCCTCAGCAGATTTACCGTTTCATTTCTGTTTCTTTCATGCTTCGCTGCACGTCAAATACAAGTTGGCACAACTTCAAACCGGTACAAATTGGCCAAACCGAGTTAGAAGCAACCAAGCAAGAGCCAGCAGCTAGCTAGCAGTCCAATCATTGTTATCAGCAAAAGTAAAACAAGACAACAACAAATGTTAAGAATATTAAGAGCAAGTGCACGCAAAACAACAACAGCTGGTGAAGCAGATGGAAGGTTGTTGGGTGGGTTTGCCTACCAGCAATGTTGTTGCAGAGCAAAGATAAAGCAAGAGTGAAACACGAGGAATATAGTGGAGTGAGAGAGTAGCAACGGTCTTACCGCAAAAGCCACGATTTCCAGCTAAAACTGCATTGGTATGAGCAAAGGAAACGAAAAAAATAAAAATAAAAATAAAGTTGGCAGCAGAAAAGGAGACAGCGCACGGCGAGTATTATTAATTTTATATGAGCAATAAAACTTTAATGGAAAAAGGAGCAGGCGTGAATACAAAAAATTAGCTAAAAAGCCACAGTAAAATCACGCAGCAGGCAAGTTGGCAAACCCTTTTTACAAACTAACAGCAAACATTTATTATGCTATAAAACCTTTTTACTATAACAAAATATGTACCGCTTGCAGCAGCAGCGACTAATAAGAGTAAAAAAACACTCAGAAACAATGGCGACAGTAACTAATTGACTGACTGTTTGGTAAGCCGGAATAGGTAGAGTTAGGCAGCCGAACCGGGTATAAATCCAACTCCAACCTACCTAGCGCATCAACTAAAAGCACTAAAATAATCATACATACAAAACAGGGGGAGCGGCGTTCATAAAAACAAGGTAAGTGCTAAAAAAAATCGCAAGCTGTAAACAAAAATACAAAAAAAAAATAAAAAATTATGCTTGCCTGCTGTCACTAGTCGGAGCCAACAAAGTCCAGTTCAAACCGACACGAAGCGGACAACATTGGTGCGGCATCGAGGTTTTAGTTGCGCTGCTGACAGCTTTGGTAATGCTGTTGGCTGCTTTTGCTGTTGGCAAGTACATATGTATGTATGTTCATATGTATGTAGTAAGTAGCTGAAGAAAATTTTGCAACATTGTGCGAGACACAAATAAAAATTAACACAAAAAAAAACAAGTGTATAGAGAAAACACACACTTACAAAATGGAGTAACGGAGTAGTAAAAGCGATTCAAGACAAAAGAGATGAATGGCACCAGGGTTATAGCAAGGCAAATTAATGTGCCTTGGGTTATAGACTACATATAATATTGAACTGACTATACGCAACTTTATGAGTGTACTATAAAGATATGTATGGGTGTACCTTATTAAAACTTAGTTATATAACTTTTACGTAATAATTTATATTTTCTTTCCATTGTTTTTTGTTTATTTACTCAGAAAAGGTATTAGTACAACAAGATTTTTTTAGTTAATTTAAAAAAGCTTATTAAAAAAATATATTTACAAACTCATAAGTCTATTCACACATTGGGCCGTATGCATAAAAACTGGGCAATCGCTTTTTCTTAAAATTTCACAACTTTCACTTAAATTTATTTGAACAAATCAAGTAAAAGATCAGATATTTTAAGAAAAAGTCTTTTCTTATTATTTATGCATGTGAATTTTGGATTTTTGGTTAGTTACGACTTTTTGTATTTCAGCGGCACTTTGAGATAGGGCTTTCTATATTAAGGTAACGACATATTAATGAGTTTTTCGAAAGATATTCATAATTTTCCATGGTTTCTTAAATAATAAGTGTTTCGACAAACAATTTTATTTTAAAGACAAATGTGCAAAAGGAATATTAGTGTCGCGATTAGAAAATTTAGTGCATACAAAAGTTAATCATATACGGCTCGCTTGAATACAACAAGAAGATATTGCGGCTGTCAAAAGCCATGCGGTGTTTCTTGTTTGACCCCCTCCTCTCAATCAGCTAATACACGATGAGTCATCGTTGATGAAATGCCAATAATTCAGAATGAAAAGCTAACTGAATAAAATTAAAAAATATAGGAGTTAAAATTAAATAAAACACGCTAATATAAGAAAACTTAAAATGCAATAAAATAGAATAAAAAAAATTATGTTTATTCATAAAAGTATGCAATTTTTGTTTTTCGTATACATAAATAAAAAATAACAAAAAATGCCACTGACGAAGATGACACGCGCAGAAACCGGGTTGCATACGAAAAAATGTTACAAGTTATGACGGAAATTCCCTAAAAAATGCATACAAAGATTACATACATCACACTTTTTATCTTTCGGAAGCACCGAAAAACTTTCTAACTATTTAATCCAAAAAAAGGTATACATACACAAAATAGCTTGAATCGACGAAGAGTAAAAATCAGTAGTAATAAAAATAATTAAAAATTAATTTTTTAACATGAAACAAAACCGATTTCAATTCTCATATAAATATTTAACTTAAGATTATCGTTAATTTTTTCATGATCTAATGATCGGATTTAAACCAAATTAGTATGTTACCTGTGAGGTAACAGCTTTCCTTTAAAAAAAGAATTAAAGAAATCGGTTAACGTGGTCCAAAGTTACATACATATGTACATACATACATACATACATAAAAAATATTCCGACGAATTGATAACCTTCTCCTTTTTGTTAAGTCTGTTAAAAAACAAATCCAAATGGGTATACCTTCGAATTAAATTTAATGTGCTGCACACGACTGCATGAAAATAAAACAAACAAACAAAAATACCTGCATAAGCCTATAATATGAACGCCTTAATCACGCACATAGCATATTTAATGAAAAACAATAACATAAATACATGCATACAGAAATATATTTGTACACATATATATGCACACCTCGGCTTTTGCATAAAGAGAATTTAGTCACAGACTTAGTCAATTTGTTTACTATTCGTCAGAAATACTTAGGTAAATTACAAGTAACCAAGTGGGGCATAATAATGGCAATTATAATTTATGCACGGGTAAGTGCATGCTTAGGAAATTACTAAAAATGCTATCGACTTTTCTCAAATGGAAACAGCTTGGGAAACGAAAAGAGACGAAAAACGATTTGGATAAGCCAAACAAAAATGGCATATGCGAAAACTTAACAAAAAATAAGTTAAATTCGCCGTTCCCATAAACACAAGTCCCAAAATGCGAAATAAGTAAACGCTATATTTTATTGAAATTTAAAAAAAAAACATCGACTTTGTATCAAAAGTTTAAAAAAATTTCCCCTAAACAAAATGTGTATTATCAATGACAAAGAAAACCGTTGTGTTAATTCTCAAAATCTTAATTCAATATCAATAATTTTAATTAAATCTATCATATATAGTTTATTAATATTGAAAAACGATCAAGGATATATTACAAGGCAATTATTCATATGGCACATGCAGCCTTCGTTAACTGTGAATAATAAACGTAGTTTTATAGTACAACTCGCAATATAATGCATCATTTTTCCCCCTTTTGTTTGTTATTACTAGGGCTCGGAATCTCATGCACTAAATAATCGAAAATATGCGCATATAATATGCACTTCAAATTCAAAAATTTGCGCCATAAACGAGTAAAATATGGAATTAAAAATATTTCCCTAATATTTCGTTGTCGGTACAAAAATAAATAACACATATATTTTAACAGGTAACGAAAACAATTCCCTTCAAAATTCAATACACATTTATGTATAAAATTAGTTTATAATCAAGCAGACAGTTACAATCTTGTGTAAATATAACCACTGACAGTTTAATCCTGGTTCAGATGAATATTTATTTGGTTTAACTGGATCGTCACACTAGTGACAAGCAATTAGCAAGTTTGCCATTTTGATTCCACAACTCGTATAACCTACAGTAATTTGGCGGCTTTAATGAATTTCAGTACGTCATACAGAGAGAAGCAGCTTCACTCTAAAACATTCTGCAGTAATGGCTTACTGAGTGTCTTAAGCCTCATTCTTTCGAGGGCTGGACAACTTATACATGAAGTATTCGACTATCTCTTTTGAGCCAGGGTCGTCGCAACTGCGACATAACCTGTTGAAGGACAATCAAATCCTTTGAGCATGTACCCCAACGGGCAAGTACCCTGTGCACACTGATGTCCCTATGTCCCTGGACCCATAATAGGGTAATTTCGTATTTATCAGAGATATATGCCAGCTCTCTTCTACAGTCCTCCAATGGTTGAGATCAAGAGAGTTCCTTAATGGCCGCTTGGCTATCCGAGAAGATATTCAGATTAATATTTCGGAAAAAATTATATGTAATTTTTTTTGTCCAGAGATTTCGCAGTAAATTTAAATGGTTGTAAATCAAAAAAAGCAAAAATATGCAAAAGCATATGCATTTATTGTAAAATATTCTAAAATATACGCAATATGTATGCCAAAACAGGTATTTTTGAAAAATATACAAAACCATGCATTTACTGCAAAATATGCAAAAATATGCACAATGCCATTTTAAAGGAAATTTCATGATTCGTAAAGATAACTTAACCATTTTCATTTGAAGATGCCCAGTAAAAAACATGCATTTGCATAAGATTCCGAGCCCTAGTTATTACCATTGTTGGCAGATTGTGTGCAGCACGCACGCTTGTTTGCGCATACAACACAGGAAAATTATGGCAATTACAGACATAATGTACAATACATAGTCTTGAACACTCAGTGGAGCAAGAAAGTAGGCAAAGTCTCAAATGGCAGCAGGCGCATGTGAATATCAGAAAATAGGAGTAATCATGGAGTTTTCTCCACAAAAAAAAAATTAAATAAAAAATCAACCACCCACTGAGGAGCGATATAGCGTCAGCAAGCGGCCCCATAACGTCACTAACATGCAGCTGAGTAAATGAAATAAGGACGCCATATACAATAACAACTGCCAATGCCAGCTTAGCTTGTGTTACATTTCCATACATAGTATGTAGTAGGTGATCAGTGGGTGGTTGAATTCTCAAAAAACTCGCAATGTAAACAGTGGTTGTTTCAAGTGGAACAAAGTGTTGTTTAGGTGGATACAAATGGAAAAATACACACTTTAAGTGAAAATTTTTCAGCCCCTATTTTAGAAGTCTGTAAATGCTCGCATTTTTTTCAAATAGCCTTCACGACAATATAAAAATGAAGTTCACTTACCCTCGTGCCATCTCCAAACTCTTGATGAGTTTCTTGATTTTCCAAATTTCGACATTGCGATCAGCAGACGTTTCCTCCCCAGACATGTTTATGGAGTTCTTTATTTACACTGCTTTTTACGACGTTCACTGCTTTTTCCTCCTTCCGTCCGTAGTAACTGCTTTCGCTGCACACTAAATTCCAAGTGTTTTTGTTGACTGGAGATTTTTAATAGAATTACAATTTTTCGTATCCTCAAACGAATTTTTGGAATTGCGGCTTTTCTGCTAGAAGTTATGTGTGCGTTTTGTAAAGCACTTTTATTTAATTTGTCTTTTTATATGCTTCGAAACGGCTTTGAGATGTTATGTATATTCTTCTGTTTTTAATCAGTTTAAACGCCGTACTTTAATGCCTTCCTGATTGATTAGTACTCTGAAAAATGGAAAATATGAAATGCATAATTCTAAAATAATATGTAATTTTAAAATAAGAAAAAAAGTATATGTATATATTTATGAGTACGCAGATAATCAAAAGAAAAGAATATTGTTGATAACGCGGTCCACATTCACTTTTTCTTATCACTTAATCGCTAAAATAGTTCACTTAATCACTTTTTACTATTACAAATTTTACCAAACTTCTAAAAGTTTTCTCCCTTGCATCTGTCACTTCACCCTTTTATTTTTGACACACAAACTCTCTCTCAAATAACCAGAGAGAGCGGGAGAAATAAACGTGTACTGCTTTTTCTTTTGCTTCTTGAAATTCTTTTTCTCTTTTATTTGCAAAACAGGAACGGAACGAAACAAGGTTGGGTTTTTATTTGCAATATTTTATTTTTCAAGATTTTCCTCCACACTATTTTATAGGAAATATTTTTTTTTATTTTTATGAATTTGTAAAGTTAAACTTTCACTGTTCACGTCACTTTCGTTCAGTTATTTGGTTTGTATTCCAAAACTTTTTATTTAAAGATACATTAGTACTTATGTAGTTGAATAATTCGGACGTATACACTCGCCTTCACTTCGTGGCAATTTTCTTTTGTCTTTTCTGTTGCATACACTTTTCTTCCTACCCTACATTCTCTTTTCGACTATTTTGTACAGCCTTGCTTTGCCTTTGTCACACTCTGGCCTTATACACACACGTTTGCAAAAAAAAGAAAATCTACCTTTTTATATATTCTTATTGTAATATTTTTTCTATGAACACAAATCTAAACTAGATTATACTTGTCGAATATGCTACTTCCCCGTTTTAAAGCCAATTTCCTGCACGAAACTTACAATTGATTGTACTCTGGCACGGTCAGTCTTTTGAAGCTGGGAAACAACCAGCCGCACAACAACTGCAAGAACGTGGGCTATATCTTTTCACTATCTGCCTGCCTGTCTGTCACACTGTCCTTCTAGGAATGTTTGCTACCAAACGACACAAGAGAAATTCTCGTTTTCATTCGTTCCGCATTAATTTTTTACAGTTTCACGAATACTTGTACTTCTTCCATGCACTGGCCGTCATACTAGTAGGTTTGCAACAAAACTGAACGATAGTTTTTTGTACTCGTTTGTATAGCATAAAGTACTATTTTCTCGTTGATCTGGCTGCCGTACTACTTTTCGGTGACTCACTAGTCATGTTTCGTATATTTTTGGAAAGAACAACGTACTTCTTTACTATTCAGATCACGTACAATTATAGACAAAGTACAGTTATTCATTGCTTTCAACACTTTTTTTAATAACGTTCGGTTGATAACTTAATTTCACGAATACATATTACACAAATACACTTCATAATTGTATTCAAGTATTACTAAACTGCGTTTTTTAAATGCGAAACAGACCTTTTTATGGTTAAAGACCTTGATTTTCCAAAAAAATAGAACATCCTACGAAATGTACCCGTACACCTAGTTCGTTATTTTTCCGATCGTTCAGTACTATTTTGCAAACATGCCAATACTTTGAAGCACGAACGGAAAATAACCCTGCTGCCTCTACATTTAGAAAAAATAAAAATAAAAATCAGTATTGCACAACAGCAACCCTTTTAACATGCTCACACTTTGTATAAAAAAACATGCATTTTATTCAAGCCATATGTATATCTTGCTCGTTCACTCCTCATCGCGCGCCATATCGTAATCTCTGATGACGTACGCGTACTTTTTTGAAAAAGTACGAAATATCTGCCATTCTTCTCACGCAGTTTTTTCTATTTTTCAACGGGCACACGTCCACTCGCTCAACAGACACACATACACTATCGAAAAACACCGATTTTGTAATGCCATTTTTTCCGACCACGTACTTTTTTGCTATTTACCCAACAGCTACATACCGAATTTTTACTTACATGAGTTTAAAACCGTTTACTTTTCGTTTTCGCACAAAAATCTATTAAAAATAAACACTAGAAATGGAATATATTGGCATGAGTTGGAGTCGTGCACTTGCATGGACTTCAAGCCATGTGCAATTTTCGCAGCAGAAAGGACAGGGTTGTATTGTATTGCAATTGTCGTACGTACGTTTATCACGGCGCTACACCTTGGATTCTGCTCTATTCCTTTTTTTTGCTGATGATGCCAAAGCCGATGACGATGACAAAACGTTGCCTTTCCGTTGGCAGGTTCGCGTTGAAATGAGCCAACAAATAGTACACGAATCTGATGTATGTATTTTAATGGTTTCTGTGTACGATTACGTAACAGTTTTAGTACTTTTGTACAATCCCCTGAAATGGTACGTTAAACAAAAAAGTAAGAGGATGTTAGAATTTCGGTACTTGTTTTTATGTACAGAATGGCGTTCATGATGAGAAAGCAAAATTGAATGACTATGAAGTAGTGGAAGTTACGACGACTGAATCTAAAATGGTACGCTAGGTGTTTTCAAGGATTTTATAACAAAAGAACTCAAATAAAAAGCAGCATTTGTTTCAATGGGATTTGTAGTAATAGAGCGAAAACAAATGCGAAGAAAGTAACATATTGGCTGCATTTCTTTATTCATTCTGAACGTTTGGAATAAACTTTTTTGTTTATTCATTCTTTAGAACGTTCCTGATGATATGTTGACGTATATTTCAAACGCATTCTGTTTATTCCGGCTGTGAAATTGGATTATCCGGAATGTATAAAGAAACGCAGCCATTATTGCATGATAAAACAAAAAGATAGGAATTTCGATTCAAAACTTTTTGGGTAACAAATATACGCTATTGTGATACAAAATGGAATATTGTTTGTATAAAATAAATAATCGATTCGATTTAGTGATTGTGAGTAGATTGATATTCAAAATAGAAACTTTTGAACGTACGAAGATTTTTGACAGTTCCTATGTGTACCTAGATTTAGTTTCCCTCATTTAATAATTTTTTTTTTTAAACTAAAGGAAAATCTTATGGAGAAATATTTCCAAACATTCAGAATAAACCTTGGTTTCATAAAAATTCAAATAAAATGACACCAATAGAAGTTAAACAAATTAATAGAATTCTAACAAATCACACTTTCTGCAAGGAGACATTATCAAAAATGAATATTTTTCCAAACCCAAATTGCGAATTTTGTAATACAGTTGAAAATACTGATCATATAATTTTCAAATGTAACAAATATAACATTTCACGTGATAAATACCCAATTCTCAAAAATACTTCATCATTAATAGGACATTGAAATTAATTTATAATTTTATAATTTAATCTAAAATTGGAGATGGCGTTTTAAGCTTTTTTGCTGGCCAATTAATTCTTCTTATAAAGAATTAGGAAGTAACTTTAAATTACAAAAAAAAAAAAATTTAAAGTTTATCGATTGCAGTCGATAACTAAGAAAGTTCGATTGTCTATCCGATTCACTTAAATTTCCCCTTCTACATTTTTGACAATCAGGAGTAAAACCGATCAGCTGTTCAGCTATTTGTTGATAAGCGTGCGCGGCGTCCCTATTTTGGATGAAAATTTTGGTAATTGTTTTACATCTTGAATCCACGGAATCCTGCGATCCACGGGTTAAGCTGTTAACTATTCCAATCAACAATGGAGTTTTGATATTACGAAAATAATTGTGTGTGTTGAAAGCTAACTTGCTGTAGTAGCAAGCTATAGAAAGAAGCCCGCCAAATAAATTTTAGGTCGCAGCATTTTTAAAGTAAATACTCAAATCAGCTTTTATTATTAAGTATGAATTTAGAGTTATTAGGTAAGTGTAACCATATACACATATTAGGTATTTAAATATTAACCACAGTTTTGTCTTTCGCTAGAGTCCTTTGGTCAGAATTATCCAGAGGAATTTGATGGCTCATTGGACTGCATATCGCTAGCGGTAACTTGTGCCTTCAACAAATATGGCACTTTATTGGCGGTCGGATGTAATGATGGACGCGTTGTTGTGTGGGATTTTTTAACACGGGGTATTGCGAAAATCATCTCAGCTCACGTGCACCCCGTGTGCAGTTTAAGTTGGACGCGCAATGGTCACAAAGTAGGCATTTTTTAAGTTTAAATTCATAAAATTGACTTTCATAAATTTTACAGCTGCTATCTGCATCTACAGACAACAATGTTTGCATTTGGGACGTACTTAGTGGTGATTGCGAGCACAAATATCGCTTTCCATCACCCGTGTTGAAAGTTCAATTCGATCCTCGCAATGACAAACGTTTCCTTGTGTGTCCCATGCGTTATGCCGCAGTGCTGGTAAAAATTGGAGACACGCACAAATGTTTGCCTTTGGATTCAGATGTTAGTTTTGGGGCACTGTTTTATTTTGAGCTGTATTTTTATATGCGGATTTAATTTTTTTTTTTTAAATAGGGTGATCTAAATATTGTTGCTTCTTTCGATCGTCGTGGTAAACATATCTACACAGGCAATGCAAAAGGAAAAATTCTGGTTTTAAATGCAGAAACGTTGGAAATCGTCGCGAGTTTTCGTATTATTGTAGGCTCTTCAAGTGCGACGGCTGTAAAAAGTATAGAATTCGCAAGAAGAGGGGAGTAAGTGTTTGTATTTACGTAATTTCTTCTTTTTTCAGCTTTTACTTATTTTTCAGCGCATTTTTAATAAACACCTCAGATCGTGTTATACGTGTTTACGATTCAAAGGAGATTATTGCACTGGGGAAAGATGGCGAACCTGAGCCTATACAAAAATTGCAGGATTTAGTGAACAAGTGAGTAAAGTAATTTATAAATGCTGATTCAGAACACAAAGGTGTAATCAAATTAAACTATTTAAAGCTTGGCCATTATTTTACATGGTCTTAAAACTAATCTCCTATATAATACCTTACAGAACCACATGGAAAAAATGCTGCTTCTCCGGGGATGGCGAATACATTTGCGCTGGCAGCGCACGCCAACATGCTCTCTACATTTGGGAGAAATCTATTGGTAATTTAGTGAAAATTTTGCATGGCACGAAAGGCGAACTGTTGCTTGATGTTGTGTGGCATCCCGTGCGTCCGATTATAGCTAGCATAAGCTCGGGACTCGTTTCCATTTGGGCACAAAATCAAGTGGAAAACTGGTCTGCATTTGCGCCAGACTTCAAGGAGCTCGATGAAAATGTTGAATATGAGGAACGCGAATCGGAATTTGACATAACTGATGAAGATAAATCGGTGGATTTGAATGCTGATGCGAAGCAGGATGAAGAAATTGAAGTGGATGTGCAGAAAGTAGAACCAGTTGCTGCATTTTGTTCTTCCGATGAGGAGGGTGAAGATGAAAATGCATTACAATTTCTACCAATGGCGCCTGAGGTAGAGGATCCTGAAGATGGTTGGACTATGCAAGACGGTGTGGAAGTGTCATTGTCGAAAGAAAACGAAGCAACATCTCAGGATTATGACGATGCAACGGCGGCGAAAAAGCGGAAAGTGAATAATTATGATATCTCATTGCCGGATGCTCCAGTGGATGGTAAGTATATAGCATAGAGAGTTATGACATAAACACTAATTAAACGTTTCTTGTAACGCAGAGACACATCCGTTAATTTCAAGCAAAACAAATAAGGACAAGCAACCGGTAGGTGGAAAGAAAACAGCTGGACGTCCAAAAAAATAGCATTTTAGGTTTTAACAAATTTACATTTCATAGCTTAGCT